TGATGACTTCTTTTGATCCCTGTTCTTACAGTTATCAAACACACAGTGGTTGCCTGGAGACTTCCATATAAACTTCTTGATTTATAAAGAAACAAAGAAGTCTGCATTTACTTGTTGTTTTTAATCTCCCATAGCAGCTTCCAGAAATTACCTTTTCAATTCTTTTAGGTCAGGTGGCAAAAGGTCCCTTCCATTGATTCAATTAATGCCTCAACTCAATGAGGGGATTTAACTACTCACCATGCTTTTTGGAGTTGGTTGACAAAGTGTGTGGGGGGGAAGAGATAAAAAGCCCCATCTTTAAAAATAACAAACGTGACTAGATACTAGAATACTTGTTATAAATTAGAGATACAGCTTCCCTTTGGTGTAATCCTGAAAGGACTACAGAGGGAGAACATCAAGAACAAGCTTAGTAGCTCAAGGTAGAAGCTCCAGACAAGAAACTATTCTACTCCAAAGTACCAGAAAATAGTTTCACAACATTAAACAATGAGTAGAAGGCTGTTTTCAAGGGGTAAGATTTCTAAAATGTTCCATGCAATTTAAAATGTTTTAATTTCTTCTCTTAACAGTTTATCTAGTTAACGTTTTAGACATTACCTTAAGAGAGAAACAAAAAATCCCTACTCTCACCCACTTCACTGATATTTCCAGATGATAAACCTGACAAAGAATATATTAGTGGTCATCAATTCCCACTTGCCTTACATTGGCAGAACATCCTTTTTAATTCACGACACTGCAGTTAAGTTCTGATCAGTGCTTTGGATAGGCTGAGGCAGTAGATAACAGAGACTGCTGATAAGAGAATAAAGAGATAAAATAGTGTGATTTTTAGAGTGAAGAGGCAGGCAATGCCTCTCTAACAGCCTTCCTTGTATCCAGGTAGTTATAAATAGGGCCTGGAAGGAACGTGGCTGCATAATTACAAATTAACTATGAAGGAATATGAGCCTATAAAAAGAAATGCTACAGACATGAATTTACATCAAGCATCTTCTGGATCCCGGCTCTCTAATTTATACCAGCTCATCCATAAAAAGAAGTTATTATTGTTCATGATGAGTATAAGGAAGCCGTACATGGAGCCTTGCTTGGGCAGAATCCAGACAATACAGGTGGCTCTTGAGGCAGACAAAATCTTGTTTAGATGTGGATCAGGTACCTCCACTGAGTCTTCTGGACAAGTTCAATTAATTTTGTTCCTTCCCTTCCCCCAGAGAATTTTTACCTGCAAAGACTCTTTAGTAAATGAAATACCCAGGGAACCAAAGACAGACATTTAAAAGGAAAACAGTTCCTACTGATGACAGATAAGAGGAGGAAGGCAAAAATCTTCCTTCTGACAAAGCACCGCTCAGTTGAAATCCTTCTGTCTAAAATTTGGTTTCATATTCACAAAAACAAGATTAGTTTAAATTAAATTTCATAGAAAATTCATGGAAATTCCCTTAAATGCTTTATGTTTACAGCATATAGAATCCCCAAATTTATTCTAATACTAACAATCACTCAAATCCTAACAATTGAGAAGACAAGACGTTGGCCTTCCCTCAATACTCTTCTTACTTCTTTGCTCTTTATGCTCGTCAAGGTGAAGACAAAGTCCCTATAAGAGATCAAGTGAGACTGTTGATACACGTATTTCATGGCTACAGAGGCCTCTCAGGAGTGAGATACTTCTCTCTTGGCCTCCCAAAGCAGCCAGGCATGCAGCTGTCATCACTATAAACTGAGCTGGACACTTATTTTTTCCTCCTGTAACCATCTGCAGTCAGGGAATGAACTGATGCTCCACCTGCTGGAAAGAACTATATGAGTTCCAGAATTCAGAGAGTTCTTCCTATGGGGAAGATGCAATCCTTTAAGACACAAAAAAGCCATCTCTTTAGTCAGCAGACAAAAAATTAGCCAAGGATTTAGCTCATCTAAGATTCTATTCCCTCTGCTAAGAACTTTGTGCAGATCTTCTGATGCCTCTGAAAGCTTCTGACTTTACAGAATAAACAACCACCAGGCAACTGTGACTCTGTGCACAAATTGCTTTCGATTAAAATCACAGGTTTAGATTAGATGTTAGAAAGAAATTCTTCCTTGTGAGGGATAAAACACTGGCACTGGTTGCCCAGAGAAGCTGCAGCTGCCCCATCCCTGGGAGTGTTCAAGGTCAGGTTGGACAGGGCTTGGAGCAACCTGGGCTAATGGAATGTGTCCCTGCCCATGGCAGGGAGTGGAATAAGATGGTCTTTCAGGTCCCTTCCAAACCAAATCATTCTGTGATTCTGTGATTTTAAGTAATACTTTCGCTAAGAGTTTGATCTTTGTTAACTTGTTTGGTGCAACATGGAATATAATACAAAGCTGAAAAGCTGCTGCACTCCTCTTCCTCTCATTTGTACTAGCTTTCACTGTACTCTGAATTTTTCCAATGGTAACAGAGAAGTAGCAAAAGAATAAAAAAAACACAAACAAATTCAGCAGTGTAAAACATCTGCTGAAGGTTGCCAGGCTGACAAACTACACCTACAGCAGGTTAAAATAGGAATCAGGAAAAGAAGCTTAAAGCCTCGAAGTAGAAATGCATCTGGCAAGATCAAAGTCAGACAGCTCGTACCACACTCTTACAAGTGAAGTTCCTTTATGAATTATGTTATGATTTGCAGTGGACTTTGTTTCATGATTTACAATGTGTTTCTTTAAGCTCAAACACAGATGCTTCAGATACATCTATAATGATGCTTGGAGAGAAATCTCACACTGACCCTCAGGCAGCCTGAGCCACTCGAGTTGGTCAGTCTGTCTCTACCACATAAATAATGACCAGAGAGGCAGCTCCAACCTCTGCTCTCTGTGAGCAGGGACAGGACCCCAGGGAACAGCTGGAGCTGTGTCAGGGCAGGGTTAGGTTGGATCTCAGGAAAAGGTTCTTCCCCAAAGGGTGGTTGGGCACTGAACAGGCTCCTCAGGGCAGTGGTCACGGCCCCAAGGCTGCCAGAGCTCAGGGAGGGTTTGGAAACGCTCCCAGGGACAGGGTGGGATTGTTGGGGTGTCCCGTGCAGGGCCAAGAGTTGGACTCCATGATCCCTGTGGATCTGTTCCAGCTCACGATACGCTACGATTCTAAAGTTCTGAAAATAAAATAATAAACATATACAACACAGAACATAATTCTGACAGTTAACAAACATCTCCAAATGAAAAAGAAGCCAAAAATGTCAGAACCATCCCTGCTGAACTGGGATTTGCAAGGAAGATGAGGACGCTGCTCTAACTGGTGAGAACTGACTGCTTTCCATTTCACTAAGCCAAGTACTTGAGAATGCAGAAGTAGAGCCTCTTCCCTCCCTTAAACAAAACCATTTTAAGTAAATAAACAATTGTTTTATTTTGTCTATTCAGTTTTGTGTTCCTGGGGAGAAGCTGAATAATATTTTCAAATCCATCTTGATAACCACAGAAGCTGTAATTTCTGAGAGATTATTTTCTTATCTAACTAAAACTTCTAAGGACACCACCAAAGAATTTGCTCTGCTGGAGTTCAGCTCAGCAGCAAAAATAGTAAAAGATTCAGTAATGCCCAAAGGGAAAAACTGCAGACAGTTCAGATCTGAAGTTTGTGATGTTTGACAGCATTTAATGAGTGATAATGAGCAACACTTCAGATCATACAGAAATCACTAATATTCAAGATATCAAAAACCTCCTTATGACTTAGTCCAGATAACTTTTTTAAGCCCAAATAACTATATCAGAACACTCACTGCCTTGCCTAACACCACACACACAGAGCAGTGATGGAAAAGGAGATGTGTGCCATTTACTGACTGAGCTCATCTCCACTGGAAAACTTACATGATCTCTAGCACATAATGGCAAGTAAGAAGAGAGCTGTTCATTTTCTCATTCATTAGTAGCTCCAGGAAAATAAAGGCAGCGGAGACACTTACTCCTCCATATCCTGTTTCCAATAGCCAAAGGAAGGTTTCCAGTTCTGGGGCTCCAAATTAACAAGGACGTGGAGCTGCTCAAGCAGATCCAGAGGAGGTCACAGAGATGCTCCAAGGGATGGAGCCCCACTGTTCTGGATCCAGGCTGGGAGAGCTGGGGGTGTTCAGTGCAGAGAAGAGAAGGCTCCAAGAAGACTTTAGAGCCCCTTCTGGTGCCTAAAGGGGCTCCAAGAGAACTGGAAAGGGCCTTTGGACAAGGAAGAATGGCTTTAAGCTGAAGGGGTAGGTTTATATCAGATATAAGGAAGAAATTTTCCCCTGTGAGGGTGGTGAGGCCCTGGCACAGGTTGACCAGAGCAGCTGTGGCTGCCCCATCCCTGGAAGTGTCCAAGGCCAGGTTGGACAGGGCTTGCAGCAATCTGGGATAGTGTAAGGTGTCTCTGCCCATGGCAGGAGGTCGGAATTGGATGCTGCCAAAGGTCCCTCCCAACCCAAATCGTTCTGTGATTCTCTGAACTGCAAAGGACAGAATGAAGTGGTAGAAAAGCCTAAGACACTCAACCACTTTTCCCAAAGTATTATTTTCCTAATGTGAAATGAACAATTGAGAGCATAAGTAAGTTAACAAAAGGCATAAAAGCAACACAACAGGACGTAACCAAAGTTCCTACACCTTATTTACAAATACACAAAACACTCTTTAAAGAGCATTAAAACTGTCAAAATTATAGATGAAAACTTGGGAATTCCAATAACAACGCTTCTGTAAGAATAACCACTGAATAAATATTTATGTTTCCTGAAGATTCACATCAGAGAAACAGGGGGGGATATAAAAAAACAAACAAACTGTAAAAAGACCCCACAGGTCTGAGCATCTGAATAAGCAAGAAAACCTTTTAGAAGCGGACACCAGAAACGACACATCCCATAAGGAGGTGAGCAGCAGCACACACGTGCTTGGCTTTAAATCAAAACCTGCGATTTTAAGACGACCCTTAACATCCCTGAGGTTTCTCCGCCAGGAACGAGCCGGTTTCGGAGCCTTACCTGGTTGGGTCTTACTGGGATGATGCTGTCCACCCGCTCCCTGCTGCGGAGGAGGACTGGCCCCTGCTGGCGCCGCGCCTGGCGCGGGGCTGGTGCCGCTCAGAGTCCCGGCGGGCAGCGGCTGCCCCCGCTTTAGGAGCTGCTTCTGTTCTTGCTGGCGGAAGCGTGGAGGCACCTCTCGAGGCAGGTATCGGGACGCAGCCGGCTGCTGCCCGTTGGCAGACGCGCGCTTGCCATTGCTGCTGTTGGTAATAGTGCTGGTGGAAGTACTGGTACCGGTACCGGCAGGTTGGGGCTGGCTTAAACTGGTCTTAATAGGTTCTGGCACTGCATTTAAAACAAACAAACGAAACAAACTGGTTTAGTTTCAGAGAGGTTGGGGGTTGTGGGGGTTTTTTTAACTGTAAATGAGCAGATGGGTAATATTTGTTAGTCTCAAAGTTGGCAAAAGGTGTTTTCTGCTTAAGCAAAACGTGGCCCGGGACAATATTTGAACCCTTTGTTCCTTACTGCAGCACATCCCCTCTCCTGTTTTAAATCACACAGAGGACAAGAGAGAGCTGAGACAATTCAGTATTGAACAGAAGGGTCAGCTAAGCTGCACCCACCTAAAGCCCCCACTGCCTTTTCGTTTTCAGTTCAGCAGTTGTGCAGGTTTGGATGCGAGCCTGCCAATATTAACATCAAATCCCATGGCTTACAGCCATGAAAACAAACATTTTCAGGTTTCTAATGAGCTCCCAAAACCAAGTTAAAATACCTGATACACCAGCTTATTCAACACTCACACAAACTTTAATTTTCTTGTGGCCTTCACACAAACCTTCACATCAAGCACTTCAGGACACCCCAGGTGTACATCTGATAAGCCCCACACTGACCCTGCCTGCAATAAGCCAGCCAGGCCACCCTGGAAAACCTGGATCAACTTCCACAGCAGCAGCAGTGAGAAGCCACCAACGGAATGCTGAGGGTGGTCAAAGCAAGCAGGGACTTGGCCAAGCAAAAATAGGCCAAGTTTGACAGGACCATCAACATTTTGCTTCTCCAAGATGTTTATTTTGGAAGCCTAAAAAATTTCACCTATGTTTATGTCTGTGACAAAAAATGAACTCTGGATGTAAAAAAAAAGAACAAAACTGAAGTACCAGTAACACCTGAAGAGCAGAGAATAAACCTTCTTTGCCTTTTCAAAATATATCACCAGCTTTGGAAACAGTTTATCCATACTCTGACAATTAAAAAGGTAGATTAAAAGTGTCATGGAATGCAGAGTAATTATTTTCAAAAATCAAATTTGCATATTCAACATGTATGTGAAAACATGTATGTGTTTCCACAATATAAATAAATCTGTTGTCCACATGACAGAAAATATTACATCGCTTTAGTGGGTGCTTTTTAAACTCCTCCTACTATTGCTACTACTATTACAGCAATGTAACCATTTACCTACTAAAACCATCACTATCACAAAGATGTAAACATTTACAAAACACTGAGACCTGAAATACTCAGTCCTTCTGCACAGGATGAAGCTGCGACTCATTTACCACAAGATTCACCAAGAGCATTCCACACAGAGGCTGATGGACCAAAAATAATGCACCACTCCAGCAAGAAAGGTTCTCCAAGTCGGCCGACAGACCAGGCACACGAACCCTTGTGCCAACAGATGAGAAGGAATGCCAGGGAAGGGGAGGGAAAGGACAAGAGAATGGAAACCACTAACTGGCAGAATGCCAGGGGAGTCGGGATTTGTCTGGCCCTGAGATTTCATAAGGAATAACAATTAATTGGAAACATATTTCAGAGAGCAAGGCAGGCTGCTTTTTAAAAAGCATTATACTCTCCATACTGTGTATAAATAAATCACATCTGATGCTTCCAAATAGGTGTGCATATATAGATATAAACCCCATCACTAATGCAAGCCACAGAATACACACTTTTCAGCTTAATGTAAATTCACAAAGCTGTTCCATCAAAAAGGTGTGGCCAGAGAAACCCAATTTCAATGTTATAGACAATGTTTCCCTCTATATATCTGAATCACAGATGAGAGAAAAGAACAAAGAAAATCAAGATATCACTGTATTTTAAAACAAAAATATTTCTGCATATTCATGGTACTGTTTTTCTCTAATCAATAGAGAAAAGTATTTTTTATTTTGTACATCAAAATCTCTTTAAAAGAGTAGTTAAACGCAAGCTCTTGCACGAATACTGTGTCTACAAATCATGGCAGCTGGCAAATAACCATTTAATTACACCACTGACAGGGAATAAAGCAAAAAGACCAAACAACATCATAGTAACGGGCTTGAGCTCCAAATTCCACCTTCATACCAGGCTAGAATTTAGCCTTCAAATACAGCAATAACATTTGGGGAATATATGTTACAAAGACAGTATGAGTGCATTCTAAAGTCATCCTCAGCCATTTTCAGTTGGTATGCACTGCCAGACACACCAACGGCTCGAAGTGTCTGCCCTGCACATCTCACGTGATATTTGCTCCAACAGCACCTTTATAAACCCTTTGGCCCTTCTCCTCCCCAAAAGGCTACACTCCAGTACCGTGGCTGTCCCTTGCAGAACACACAGTGCACAAAGACAGGGCATTTCAGCTCACTGCAGGGTACAAAAGCAGAGCAGAGGGAGCCTCTCCCAGGCAGTGCCTCGGTCAGCGGAGCTCCGCGTTTAATCAGCCCCAAGGGCCGACCTGCCAATCCATGGAGAGCCCTTTCCAGCCCCGGAGGAGCAGCCTGTCCACCCTTTCACCTGAAAGTAATCCACTGTCACAGCTAATGGCATGTGGGCAGCTGTTGGGAACCCAGGAATTAAAACGGAGCCTCTCCAGTTAAATTTGCCCGAACGCTAAAACTGTTGTTTAAAACGTATGGGGGGAAAGGATTTAATACTGAGTGATTTTCATAAATAGCACGTGATTGAAGAGCTGAAGCAAAAACATTTAAGCAGAAAGCCTCTTGCAAAAATACAATTAAAGGCGTAAAATAAAAGCCTTGAGATTGCTCGCTCTTAAGATGTTTGTGATGGGTATCTGCTTACTCTCCATTCCAAGCTGTACATACACTAAACAATGAGCTTGCTTGTAATAATTATCAGTACTTAATGGTATCTAAACTTCTTAATCCAATTTCACCCAAACAAATCCAATAATTACTCCATATGCTTTTTGATGATTACAATCTCGGGAATCCCAACTGCATAAAAAAGTGTTACGAGCAATTGTAGGTGGATTTTATTAATATAATGAATAGGATCAGTCTAACAGATTTCAATTACAACAATAGCTTTTAAGTACATTTCTATGACATAAGGAAAGAACATGCATAAATGAAAGAAACTGGTTAAGCCACATAATACTGATTTATGGCAGCTTTTTCCTTTCATTCACCTCATTAACATTTCTCTATATTTCAGAATCCCCCATCCCAGCCCTATAAAACTTGCATTTCTAAAGCCTCCAAGTACCAGACATTCCAGAAGAGAAACAGTTAAACCCAGAAATGCATTCTTGGCTGCTACTGTGACAGGATTTATTTACAGCTTCTATTAAACACAGCAGCTCCATTACAAAGTGCTGGATGTGAGGAGAATTTTTGATTATACAATGCCAATGCCTCACTGCGTTAAACATATCATGCCAGTGCATTATTTTTTTTTTTTCCTTCAGCAATTCGTTCAGGTCATTGTTTGATGGGTTTATGAATTCATTACAGGAAACAGATGGATCCCATAATTCAGAGCTATTCTCCCAGCCAATCATATGGGCAATTTTTTTTCCTCATCTTGCTCCCCCCTCCAAATCAACCTTAATGAAGCCACTTCCTCCATGGCCAATTCCCTGCACATACACACTGCAGCGACCACGGCTGCTGCTCGAAGCACCCTCCAAACACTAAAGGCTTTCAAAATAAGGCTGAACAGGAGCACACTCACACAGACACCCCCTCTGAGGTCACACAGAGCGCCAGGAACTTACCCAAGTCGGGCGAAGGCAGCCACAAAACACAGGATTATGGTGGCCAAAAATAGACATCCTCATTAGCAAGAAATCCGTTTTTATTTGCTGACAAAAGTCTCTTTCGGAAAAAAATTGTTGACACTCCCCCCCCCCAACCTACTTTCAAAGGCTGAATTTTCATTTAACAAATTACCTCCTTTGTCTCCTAAGCGCTGGGATTTGTTATCCACAGTGACATCTACTGGCAACAGCAAAGGTGCTCAGGAACTATTGCATAAAAGCTGACTTAAATATTTTTTTATACAAAAATGGGTAATTTTCTGTCTGGATCGTGCCTTCCCCCAAGCTCACAAACTTCTCCTGAAAAAAACCTGCAGAAAAGTTACAGTCTGAGGCCAAGAGAAACCCAAAACTCATTTTCCAAAGTACTCAGAAGGGTTTTTATAATGTAACCAGAAGCTGCTGTTTGACATCAAAGCCCACATTCAGGAATAAAAGTAAAAATACATGTGTTATTGTGGCTCTAGCACTTTATCACTATTTATTTAAAGAAATTACTTGATTTTATTGGATAATTGATATTTTCAGGAATTGGTAAATAAAGTCTTTTCCTGGATTAACTTCATTTCCTCCTCCCTTTGACCTCCCAACTGACCATGGTGTGTCTTCTTCTGCTTCCTCTTCCACAGGTTTCCTCTCCACTTCCTTCTCTTGACTTTTGCAATGTTTCCTTCCTCCTTCCTTAGCCTTTCATCATCTCAGTTCTAAAACCTCTTCTATCCCCCACCTCTCCTGACAGACTTCTCACTTCTACCAAGTTGGACCTTCTACACAGAACGTGAATTTTATTTTGCCAGGAAATTTGAAGTCAGACTAGGAATTAACAGGAAGCTGCAAAGTTCATGGAAAACCTCTAAATCACTTATCAGGATTTCTCAACCACCTTCAACAAGACGTTTTACCATCTTAAGTGCTGGCCTTATGAAAAGGTCTGAAATAGAGAAACACTGAGGACTTCATCCACTGCCCACCTGTGCTTTGACTCTAGAGCAGTATATCCACAAATCCAACTGACCCTGACCCCTACCCCTGACACTCATTTGTTCCTCCCTCCCCTCAGACCCCCTCATCTGCTTCAGTTCAAACAAGTTCTGCCTGTCTTCTCACATTTCCCACCTGCACCCCGCCACTGAAAGCTCTCTCTATATAACTTAACTATGTAATAGTTTCTGAAATGACATTCGTACTTGATATTGTCATAAGCAAATTGGGGAAATGTGAGCAAAATGTAAAATTGGTTGAAACGTTCCCTGGGAGAATCAATGGTTTGCTGTCA